GCTGTTCCCCATGACCCCTTCATGTCTTTAAAACCATTGTCACGTGGGTGACTCTTAAATTACAAAGTGTAGCTGCCAGAGCACGGCTCGTTCTTGCATATTAAAGCATGAAGGTGTGGATTCAATACCTTATAAAACAAACATTGCTTTTAAACCCTATCTTTCATAAACCTCGTTTTCAGGACAGGACAGGAATTACCATGCAAAAAATCTATCCTAATCCAAAGTATCTTGGAGGCCTATGTTCTGTCCTTGAAAGCCATACTTACTCCACATGGTCACCTTTAATCACATGACATCCGTCTTCTCTGACCCTAGCAAAGATGGCAACCAGCCATGTGGCTGCCTAAAGATAGTAGCAGTCCAAGATGGAGTCATACCTGTGGTTCCTTTAAAATTACCCATGCCCAGATTTTTTAATTATCAGCTCCCAGTGTTATGGTTCTAACTTTTATTTTTCAGATTTTATAGATTTTTACCATATCCAACAAAATAAACTTGCAAACCTCAAAGTACAGAATGTTCACATAAACCAAGTCTAATTATTATTATTATTATTATTTTGGCCGTTTTGCTTTGCTTTCTTTTCCCTGTCGTGGTGCCCTGTGGCTCAGACTGACATAGGACAGAGAAGAAACTTCTAAACATGCCTGGGTCTATTAAAGGAAGAGCCATAATCCAACTCCAGAGCCAGCTTTCCAATAATGAAAAAGCATAAAACAATTTTAATGTTATCCACACCCAAAAGATATCTGAACTCCTACTAACCTAAATCCAGTGACCAGACAGCTCACAGATAAGTTCTGAGCCCTGGTCACAAATGCAGCCACGTAGTCACTGGCAGATGGCCCATGGAAATAGCAAAAATATCTGACCCTGCTTGAAACAAAACTCACAAACACACCAAAAAACACAGACAAAACTTCCCAACAAGCATACACAACTTTCTTGAGAAATAGACTGGCAAAACTTTCCAACAAGACAAATACAATTTTAGGAAATAAAACTTTCCAACCAAAACCAGAACTAGATGGGTGGGCACTGTCTCACTATATGCCCTGGACAGGAGAATATTGGAGTCCTGTGAAACCTCCTCCACATTCCAGAAAGTCTCACAAAACTGTGACTCACCAGGAGGCCTCTGTAGATGCTTGCTGCATTCCTCAGCCTGGAAGTTCACTCTGATAGACCAGGAACTGAAGGCAGCCTTGAGCCTTGAACCATCTAAAAGCAGGTGCCTCCTGAAGCAGCCCCTCAGGCCCCCCTGAGTTCCAGAGTGTAGGTCCAGCTTTAGAATTTGGGTGGTCTGAATCTCACTGGGATGCAGACAGACTTTTCTTGTGCCGGAAGCCACTCCCAAATAATCACTCAGAAATGTAATATTAATTGTAAATGCTAGGTTGATAGCTCAGGCTCATTACCAACTAGCTCTTACAATTTTAATTAGCTAATTTCTATTAATCTACACATTGCCATGTGGCTGGTGGCTTTACCTGCCCTCCAGCATGTCTTGCTCCCTCTACATCTCCTGGTGACTCCCCAACTCTGCCCTTCTTTCTCCCAGAATTCTGAGTTTGGCTCTCCCACATAACCTTATCCTATTCCGCTATTGACCAGTCAGCTTCTCTAGTAAACCAATCACAGCGACATATATTCACACAGTGTAAAAGAATATGCTATGTCTCCCCCTTTTTGTTTAATTAAAAAGGAAGATTTTAACTTTTTAATACAATAAAATTATATACAACAAAAATAGTTATCAAGTAAGAATTACAGTTATAATATCTAGTTCATTTTTCTTTGGCAAAATAGGGGAAATATTATCTATTTTATCTGTGTCACTCCAAAGTTTTATACCCAATTTATCTTTTATCATAACTAAAAAAAAACTTTAATCATGACTATCTAGTCTTCATCTCTGCCAAATACCCCAGGAGGGTGAAATGTTACCTAAATGACAGGGACATCTGGCTGCCTGGACAGTCAACACTAGGTTCTTCTGTGACATTAGAGCATCTAACTTTGGTCTACAGGTCTAGAATATCTGACAGACTTTTCTGAGAAGCAGGGAATTTTGAAGGACTGTGCTATGGACTGTCCTACCTTGTCTTGGCAAAGTCTAGTAGTCACTTTCTTTTGTATCCAGTTTGGACAGTAACTGTCAGTAATTGAGGCAAGGGCAGTTTTTTGCCCAAATGGCTAGATTTTCGCCAAATGGAAGGCAAACTCCATTTGAAGTTTCTTCAATGCCAATTATCTTCTCTAAGGTAAATTGATACTGCCAGGAATAGATGTGTCTCACTGTCATGAAAAGATTTACATTATTAGGCATATTAAATACCATTTTCTGTAGGTGTTTGAAGGGTTTGAAGACCATCTGTCTATCTAAATATATCTGTGTATGACCTTGAAAACATCCCTAATATAACTATATGTTTGATATTATAGATGACTATTAATCTGTATTTTTAATTATATGTTATATTTTAAATGAATTGCACAAGTACAATACTCTAAACAAGAGAAGAATCATATATACAGTATAACAAAGTTAACTTTAAATTTGTATCAGTAAATCAAAATCCATACCAATATAGAATATTTTGAGATGAATAGTTTTTCGGATAAAAGTAGATTCAATAATCTACCCTTTTATCTCATCATGTTTATCTTATAACCCCCTTTCTTCTTTCAGTAAGAGATCTTTGAATTTAACTTCTTTGTTTAGTTTTCTTTTCCTGACCCCCTCTTAAATGATAAGAAATACACATTCTCCATCTGGGGGATATGGGCATTATTCTCTAGACTACTTCCTGTTGTTTGTTGGCACTGGCAATCTTTGGGGGAACCTTGCGATAATTGTTAGGTCTTGGTTGGAATAATTAGTGAGGCTCGGCTGTCTTAGCAGCAGCCTTGAAACTGTCTGGATGCTAGATCACCAAGGCCGTCAGTTTTCAATGGTGTCTGTTCCCCTTGTTCTGAAAATATATAAACTTCTAAAGGTAACATACATTACATGTATGGAATGTGTGATGTGTACAAGTCAGTTAAAGATGATTTTATTTTTTGTTTGAGCACATAAAATAAAAGTCACAAGTCTTGTAGCTCTTCTAGGTTTATTTTTTTACGTTTGTAGCCAGAATTCTCAGGGGGTCTTCTTCAATCAAACCCGGTCAGGGTTGTAAAACATTATTTTAAGGTGCATCACTCTTGTTTATGCTCTGGAATGTTTGTTTAATGATGCAGAGATGTGTTGGATTAAATAAAATTCGCCTGCGGTCAGGAGGCTGGGTCAGCAACAGGCTGACAGGAAGTTATAGGGAGGAGCCAGGTGGAGAAGGGTTTGTAAGGGGGGCAAGAAAAAGCACGAGGACTTCTTGGAGACATAAGGGGGTGAGCTGCTTGCTGTTCAGCCTCTCTGGGAAGCAGGACTCTACCTCAACCTTTGAGTCTTCAACATTTCTTGTTCTTGTTGTTTTTCTTCGAGACAGGGTTTCTCTGTGTAGCTTTGTAGACCAGGTTGGCCTCAAACTCACATAATTCCACCTGCCCAAAGGTGTGCGCCACCACCCCTCGCCAAGTCTTGAGTTCTTTAGAAGGACAGAGATATAAATAAGTTTCCTTAGTGGCTTTGAAAGAGTCTGTGCTTGAGGGACCAGAACTCCCCCAGGCTTCTGCTCTTGTGGCCTAGCTGCTGCTGGTAGCAGTGGAGTGGCAGTTGCTGAATAGGATAGCTTAAAAGTCAGCAACAATTAAAAGAGAAAAACAACAGATCATCTTTAACTTTGAATGAGACCATAACCTTTTATCTTCTGTGGAAATAAAAGCAGAACCTTTTCCCCAAAGTAACATATCTTTTGACTTCCATTTTGAAATCAAGTCCCTTTAGAAATATGTAGGTTGGTTTTATCCAGCAGCTTTCATAATCAAATGTCTATTAGCAGCTGTTGCTCCTTCCTCAGCAGTTGAACAATTCAAAGTCAAAACAATAGTATACAGTATCCAGACTCTGTGTATTTTCCATCTTTACATGGATTTTTTTCTCTTACATTACTTAACTCCCTTTTTAAGGACTTTGTTTTATTATTTTAAAAGCACATTTTTAAATCTAAGACTATATGTACTCTCTCTTCTTTCTCCAAGCCTATGTATATTTTTAAACACACTGTAACTGGTTTAGAAGTTTGTTTGTTTCTGTCTGGGTCTATTTTCCTAAACATCTTATTGTCTTTTGATCGCATGAGGTGAATCTTAAACTGCTATGTCAGCTTCCAGCATTGCTCAGCTTAGCCCATGATGGTAGCACAGGTCAATAGCACATGTGGTTTGCAGCTGGCTCCTCCCACAGGCAGTTGCTGGGACACAAGGTTGGCATGAAAGATATGAGGCTAGGAGACTGCATTTGGTTCTATTTCTGTGCGTTTAGAACCTGTGCATGACCCTGAATGTTGGACACCACCTGCAGGTGGAGTTTTCCTGTGCTGGCAGTCGCTCCCAAATAATCACTCAGAAACTTAATGTTAATTGCAAATGCTCAGCTGATATCTCAGGCTTATTACTATCTATTATAATTTAAATTAACCTACTTCTGTTAATCTATGAATTGCCACACGGCTCGTGGCTTTACCTGTCCTCCAGGCTGTCTTGCTCCCTCTGCGTCTCCTGGTGACTCTCCAGCTCTGCCCCCTTTCTCCCAGAATTCTCAGTTTGGCTCTCTTGCCTAACCTTATCCCATTCAGCTATCAGTCAGTCAGATTCTTTATTAAACCAATCACAGCAACATATATTTACACAGTATAAAGGGACAGTCCTCCAGAATGTTAGACCTGCCGATCAAGAAAGAGACCACTACCACAGGGTAAAGCCAAGCTTTAATTAAATACTAGCCAGGTGGATGGACTCTGGCCAGGTCCATACCCAGGTTCCTGGGAAATGGCCCAGAACCACAGTCTGCTTCAACTTAAGTAGGAAAAGCCATAATTCATTGCATTTCCCATCAGGTCCAATCAGAGGCAAGCAGACATCCTGACATACCTCCAGCTACATCCAATCAGGGGCAAGTGTATATTCTGACCTCGTCCCCGACTGTGAACCTCCCACCCACGTGTGATCAAGCTCATCCAGTGCAGATGGGTCAAACAAGCTTGTTCCGGGAGGAACAAGTGGCTGGTTACCGACAGTAAACTATAGTCTCCAGCATTTCAAGAACTTTCTGTCCTTGGGCGATCGGAGGCATTTTGTTTCATGGATCTCTAAGGCACAGTAATTACAACTTAAAATGTGACTTTGGCTCTCACAGCTCCTCCAGAACTAGCTGGCTCCGTTGCTTTTAGGCCTATGACAGTGACAGAGTTTCATGGCAGAAGGAAGCTTCTCAAAACAGAGCTCTCAGACCAGCGTTTTATAGTAGAGGAAAAGGTTTGAAGGCTCTGCAGCTTAGACAAACCCTACTGGCCTGCAGGATCAAAGTGTCCCCTGCCCCCGGGAGAAATAAGGTATATACAAAAGGGGGGGGGGCAGGATACTGTCCGCATTCTGAACATCTCGGATGTGACCTCCAGGACACCAGTGAAGAGAGAAGCTAATGTGGACTCCACCAGACTCCAAATATTAACTATCTGCTGCTTATATCTCTATAACCAACCCACCTGCCAGTGTTTGGCAGAGCATGCTGAAGTGTGGAAGTGCTAAAAAAAAAAAAAAAAAAACAGTTGCTGTTCCTGTTTCCAGAAAGAACCACCAGCATCCTGGTTACCACAGAAAACAGATCTACAGAGAGTCCATTCCAGCTCACTGAAATGAATTAAAGCTGAGTCATTGCCTTGTGACGACCTGGGTGTTACAGGAAGTAACCACCAGGGGGCACACTTTCATCACTAGAAAACCCTGGTCTCAATTCCCAGTTTGGGGGGAGAATGGAAGCCCTCAGGGGTTGAGGAGGAAGAGGAACACACACTATTTTTCCTTTGCATACTTCATACCTAAACGTTATTTGTTGTTTATTGACGGAAGTATTGACTAAGACTCCTGTGGGGAATGCTGGCTTGCAGGATTCCCCCTTTGTTTGCTCTAACGGGAGTGGCTACCCAGACCCAAACAGTATGCTGGGATTTCTCTTTCTCAGTCTTCCAGAATCCCACTTGGTAGACTTAAGACTATTAAGTTGTTGTCTTAAGACTATCCCTAAAATAAAAAATAAATAAATAAATTTAAAGAAGACAGAAACTGCTTCTAGAGAGGAGCTAGTGTGTGTTTTACTTTCTCAGCCTCCAACCAACAGTGGCGATGTCGGCCAAATCCCTGGCTGACTTTTCAGACAGAAGGCTCCCTGCTCTTCATTCCCGCAGCTAGCACAGCTAAAGTCCTGATGTCAGCAGCAGTCGTGGTGAGGGTTGTACTAACGGTGAATATCTGGCTGTCTCACACCAGTCAAGGTGGGGGAGGATAGAGAGGAGGGAAGACTGAGACAGGAGGATTGCTGCAAGTTCTAGGTCAGCTCTGTCTAAATAACTGAGACCCAAGAGCTGGAGGGATGGCAGAGCAGGTTAAGACCACGGCTAACCAAACATGAACACATGGTTTTAATCCTCAACACCCACATACAAAAGCTGAGTCTGATCATGTACTACAAACGCTAATTAATTAAAAATAAAATTATACTCTTAGGGAGTTAGAAAAACAAACAAACAAAGAGACCCTGGCTCCTAAGAAAGAGAAAATGTGTTATTGGTGGAACTGTAATGTGGTTCCTTAAAAAAATGAAACATGGAAATTCTAGATGGCCTTGGACTGGCTGCTCTTCCAGAGGCCCTGAGTTCAATCCCCAGCAATGACATTGCAGCTCACAAGCATCTGCAGTGGGGTCTGACGCTGTATTCTGGCATACAGGCATGCATGCAGATAGAGCATTCATACATAAAAATACATAAATAAATTAAATTAAAAAAAGAAATACTGTGTGACCCAACAGCTATCGGTGTACCATATTCCCGCAAGAACCAAAAGCAGAGGTGAGCAAACGTGTGCACATCTAGTTTCGTGACGTTATTCACAATAAGCAGAAGGTTGACACAAGTCAATGTCCATCGAAACATTAGTGTGACGTGTGCTTGCAATGGCATAGTGGTCAGCCCTAAGGAGGAATGAAAACTCAAACACATAATATAGATGGACACTGAAAACATGATGCTAAGTGGCATAAAGCAGACTGGAAAGAACAAATATCATTCCACTTATTTTTTGAGATACCTGGAATGGGCATCATCATATAGAAAGAGTTATTGCCCAGGGCTGCAGGGAGAGGCCTTGGGAATGTACTGTTGTTGCACAGCACATTTTCAGTAATGAAAAGCTAAGTCCCTGGATGTGACAGTGAAGGTGGTGACACAACAATATGAATGTGCTTAAAGCCACTGAATTGTGCATTTGGAAATTATTTAAATGATAACACTATATATTATGTAAGTTTTTTTAAAAAATGAAACAAAAAAGGTAGATTCCTGGGTCCTATGCTACTGGCTCCACAGGTTTGGGATAAAGCACAGGGATTCTCAATTTTATTTTGCTTTATGTGTATGGGTGTCTTACCTGCATCTATGTCACATACAATAATTATATAAGGGTGTCCTAATGTGGGAAGGCCTGTGATTATGTCAATAAAGCACTGTTGGGCCAATAGGGAACCAAGATAGGTGGGACTAGGAGTCCAGGAGAACTCTAGGAAGGAGAAACACAGAGAGTCAAGATGTAACGCCATGGGGTAGGAAGCCCAGAACTATTCTCCAGTAAGAGAAATACTTAGATTAACAATTATGGACTAATTACTTAAGTCAGAGCTAGCCAGTAAGAAACAAGCAAGGCCAACAGCTTCATAATTAATATAGCCTCCTATGTGTTTATTTGGGACTGATGCGGCTCAAGAACCAGGCTGGCAGGAAGGCTTCTCTCAAGGAAAAAGCTTCCCTTTACAAAATGGTGATCAGAAGCGGGATTGAATTTCCACACAAAATAATAAAAGCTTTAAAGGAATTTTAGAAACAAAAGAACGGAGAAAAGCATGGGTTTTTGGTAGCAGCATTTTTCTCAGGTGGGCTCTGTTTTGCTAGAGACAATCAGAGTCACGAGGCTTGCTTAAGGCAGTCATCCTGACTCAGCATAAAACAAACAAACAAAGTTCTTTTAAGAGGCTCTGCTAACAATTGAAAGGCGTGTAAGCACAGCTGGAAGTGGCAGTGATCACATCTCCAAGCCGGCAGCTGGAGTCACACTTATGCCTGCCATCTTGGAAAAACTGCAGTTTAAACAGCCACGGTTTTAACAGATAAGACACGTGGCCAGAAAAACATAAAGATCTACAGTAAAGTCAGACTTTGATAAAGAAAAACCTCTAAAGGTTTACAGTGTGTTTAAAAATATATGTAAGATTGAGAGAGAGAGAAAAAAAAAAACGACATAGTGGTAAAAAATAGAGAAGCCGGCTGTGGTGGCGCACACTGGTAGGATTTGCTGCAGAGGCAGAGGCAGGCGGATTTCCAAAGAGAAACCCTGTCTCAGAGAAAAATAAATAAAAGTAAAATAAATAAAGTAATAATAGATAAATAAATAAGCCACGTAAAGATGGAAAATACAGAGAGAGTCTGGATAATGTATACTATTGTGTTTTTCAGTTTTTTAATTGCTCAGGAAGGAACAACTGCTAAAGTACACTTGATTATAAGTGCTGCTGAATTAATTCAACTTATATCTTTTAAAAATGCCTTGACTTCAAAATTCAAGTATAAGGATATGTTACTTGGAAAAGGAGTTTTCATGTATGTTTCTACAGAAAATGAAAAGCTGAGGATTCCTTCCAGGCTTCTGTGGTTTGATGAACCAAGACCCCCGGAAGCAGTGGACCAGGTGTTCCAAAAACTGAAACAGCTAAGATGATGGAGCTTTACAGACCATGAAAATAAGGACTTGTGCAGGTTTCTGAGTTTTGTCATGATCCCCATGGTATGAACAGCGCCCCCTTCCAGCATGAAGCAGTTTGGAATGAGCGACGTCCTGATTCCCATCTTGTTTATAAATCTTTGTTTTCATTTAAATGGGGTAGTTTATAATTGGCTAACGATCACAGCCAATCTCTTTTTAATGGTAAAAAGGGGAATTGTGGTATGGGTATTGTTTTTCATTTATTGATACAAATTCAAGGTCAATTTTGTGATATTTATATTTCTCCTCTTGACTAAGTATTGTGCTTATACTGATCTTTTAAAATGTAATGCATAATTAAATACAGATTATAGATAGTTACTTATAATAGTCAGATCTTATTTTTAGGTAAGTTAGGTTTTCTAGATATACAGAGATATATTTAAGATAGACAGTCTTCAAACCTTTCAAAGACCTTCAGAAAATGGTATTTAAAGTGGTTTAGGGTTTTTCTTGACAATGAGAAATGTCTGCTCCTGGCAGCACCAATTATGTCTGAGAGGAAGATAGACATCGAAGAAACTCGTTATGGAGTTTGCTTTCAACATGGCAAGACTAGCCATTTGGGCAAGAAACTGCTCTTGCCTAGACTGTTTGACTGTTGTTGTATAATCTGGACATGCAGGACCCACAGGAAAGTGACTGCTGAACTCAGTCTTACAGGGTTCCTACTTCATGGAAGAGTCTACGAGACTTTCTGCAGGACACAGAGAAATGACTGACAGACTGCCAATGCAAATGGACAGTTTTAAAATTTCCTGCTTTACTGAGAAATCTTCTGGACACATTGTGGCCTATGGGCTGAAGATGGATGCCCCAACATTACAGAGGAACTCCAGGTGACTGTCCAGGAAGTGAGATGTCTCTGTCAGTTCTAGTGTTTACATATTATCCTTCTGAGGTCTTTGATGGAGTTGAAGACAGATAGTTATAATTATAGTTTTCCTTAGTTATGATAAAAGATAAGTTACATATAGGACTTTGGACTCACAAGAATGAGATAGATGATATTTTCTTTAAATCTTACTAAACGCTGATAGACAAAATATTGTAACTATGTTCTTACTTGATAACTGTTCTTTTATATATAATTTAACTATGTTAAAGTTAAGACCTTTATTTTTGTTTAGACAGAAAAGAGGAGATGATGTGGGAAGTCCTGTGATTATGTCAATAAAGCACTGTTGGGCCAATAGGGAACCAAGATAGGTGGGACTAGGAGTCCAGGAGAACTCTGGGAAGGAGAAACACAGAGAGTCAAGATGTAACGCCATGGGGTAGGAAGCC